GGGTCCCAGACATTAGAGATGGAAAAGATGTATTATATCATCTAGGCACAGACTCTAATGGTATTTAGGCTCCTTACTTCCATTGAAATCAATTAAACTAGAGTGGGCAAAGTATTCGTATATAATGTACTGCAGGAGACAATGCTGTAGTGATGGGGTTAGGGACTAGGGCCCAGATCCACAAAGGTATGTAGGCTCCTAATTTTGGAGCTTAAATACCTTTGTGGATCTGAGCCCTAGTCCTTAACCCCATCAGCACAGCATTGTCTTCTGCAGTACATTATATGCTAGTACTTTGTCCACTCTAGTTTTATATGTCCTAAACAATGGGATTTCTGTCAAAGATGGTACATTAAAATTAGAATTTAAGATTCATATCTGTAGTCAGAAGGTACTTTTTTTTCTTTAATAGGAATGTAGAATCTGAGAGTTTGGTATATCAGTCAGATGATTTAGAATGAAATAGAATCATCTGGTTTATTGAGCTAATTGTCAATAGACATATTTTAAAGTGTTTTTTTTTATTTAATTACTGCTGCAAGTGAACCAGATAGTTAACAGAACATACTTTATTTTAAATGGAAGAAATAATAGTGACAGTAACAAGTTTTACTGCAAGTATAGAAAATGTCATTCCACCATGCACAGGATGGAATGATGCAGGTTAATTCAACTATAAGATTTTAATATTTCATAGACTCATACTAAAATGGATATGGAATATTGATTAAGACAAGTATTTTGAAATAAAACCTGATAGTTTGAAAAAAATGCACATTGCTTAATTTCTTTCTGAATACACAGAGTAACATTTGTGGTGCCTGGTTAGCAACATAGTGAAAATATTTTTATTTTTGTCACACACTGAACATGTACAATATTATAAAGCTTGATTTTAATAATCTTTATTTACAAAAATATTCTTCCCAATCCCTTCAAACTGCAATTATAAAGTTCATTCTTAGATTGAAAATTTGTAAACTGAACAGAATTTTCAGCAAAAAAGGATTAATTTGTTTCACAAGAAACCAAATTTCATTGTTTAATTCAGCTTTTTTTTTTAAAGGTATTAGATGGATAAATAAATTGTAATTGCTAGTTAATGTCTTTCAGGTTGCTCATTGGGATGTTTTAACATTCTCCCCATATTCTTATTTGTAAAGTTTCTATTTATAATAAGATATTCTAACATGATACAAAAAGCTTTCTAATAGCAGTAAGAACCAAAGTGCAAAACATTTACTTGGGTGGGGAATTGCTCTTGCTCCCATTTAAGTCTAACACAAAATTTCAGATTATTTGATGAAACTAGGATCTGCTCCTTGATGCAGACTTGCACAAAGGGTTTTTGTTTATTACCATTTGGATTTTATGCATGTAAGTTTCCCTGAACTATGTCACATTGTACATACAGTTGTACTGGGTATTTTTAGGAGATTAATGGTAGGGTATTAGCCAATTAGGTGGTGCCAATCCTGCTGTCAGACTTCTATTTATCTTTTAATATCACATACCTTAATGTAAGCTCAGTTGATAATACTGATGTTGTTGAGACATGGACAAGTTAATGATGTGTAAATCTGCAGTTTGTGCTGAGATAGAAAAGTTTAATTTTTTGGAATGATACAGGGTCCAGTCCTTCAAAGGCTTATTTGTGGGAGTAATCACGCTGAAGTAAGAGGAGCTACTTACATGAATAAGGGCTACTCACATAAATAAAGATTTGAGTAGCTGAGTCTGTATGTCTTATATACACTACAGATTTACAACTTATTAACCTGAGGCTCACTTTTTAAAATGTCAAATTGTTTACTGTTAAAACACTTATACAACTAACTGAAGACAGACAGTATACGCAATTCAGGACTTTGAGACAATTAATGTTGTGGATATCATTTATTATCCATCAGATACCAAAACTGCATTCCTTGGACACCCAAAACTCTTACCAAAGTTAACTGAGCGCAATAGGAGTAAAAGGAAAGGAAAGCAAGGAAAACAGGATAAGGTCCTAGCTCCTATTCAGTTCCTTGTAAACTGAATGATGGAAGAGTGCAAACAGTGAACATGAATATCTAGTGATTGGTGGTGGCAATCCAAATCTATAGTATTAAGGTTTTCCAGCAAACTTTTTTTTTTTTTTTTTTTGTATTTTTAGAAAGGTGTCTAGCCCTTATGGTTGTGAAGGAGACCTTCACTTGTAAGTCAACGCACAGCAGTTTCAGCGAGTCTCCATCTAGACAGACTGGAACAATAGCACCAAAAATACAAACTTTCTCTCTCAAAATAATCTGTTTGTGACCATTAAGCAATCAGATTAATAACCACATACAAAATTACCCCAGTAAAATGAGTGAAGTGTATTGGTTAAAAATGTACAGCCTTGCTCTGAATCCCCACAACACACAAAAACTTAGCCTGGGCTGGACCCATATGCAGAATTCACATTAGCATCTATGAGAATTCCACATGCTGAGCAAGGGCAATATATGGCCTTAAATTCAGACTGTAGTAGCATGGATTAGTGTTTCCACTTAGTGTTAACTGACCACTTCAACATGAATGGTCCCTTGAAATATGTGTTAAACATTCTGTTCCACCTTATATTTAGCTGTGACACTCTGAGGATATTTCCCAGACCTGAAGAGCTCTGTGTCAGCTTCTCTCTCTCACCAACAGAAATTGGTCCAATAAAAGATATTAACTCACGCACCTTGTCTCTCTAATATCCTGGGACCAACATGGCTACAACACTGTATAGGTTCAAATGTGACATACAAGAGCTTTTATTTGCTCTCCAAAAATCTAACTTTACTAGTCTTCAGTTTTAAAGGGTAAACTCTGGGGGCACTAGGAGAAAACTGTGGAGGAGCCAGCCAGAAACTCCAGTCAGTAAGGGCAGAAGCAACCAAAGCAGGGATTTTTGGTCCTTTGGAGAACTTTATAGAGTTTTGACTGTGCTTTCTCTCTCCTGTGTTGATTGGCTGTTTGCTCCAACCTTCCTGCTCCCCCTCCTCCCTCAGTCTCTTCACCTCAGCTTCACTCCACACCTGTTCCATTACCTTCTTCTTCCCTGCCCTGTCCCCTCACTCTGTTCCTATTTAGCTTATCCCCTCTATGTACCCCCCCAAAAAAACATGACTTTTGCCTCCATCACATAGTTCATTCTGCTTGTATGTCAGAGCATCTTCCTCCAATCTTGTCTGTTTAGACTGTAAGCACTTCAGGGCAGGAACTGTCTACTGCTCTGTGTTTGTATGGTACCACATATAATGGGGGCTCACTCTTGGTTGGCCTTTATGCACGACCGTAATAAACATGATTAATAATATTTTAAAATTTTTGCCTTTTTTGAATTACATGATTTTGTGTACACACATACACACTACTGCATATGCACAGTAACTTCTTGTCAACAAATTTCATGGTGAATTTTAGTAATGTGTCCTTTATGCTCAATTCAGAGGTGTCTCTAATTTATCACTTTACATTTTAAACCTTATATCGCAGTGGCTTGTCTTTATATTTGCCTGAACAGTACAATCTATGCCTGTGGCACTGTATAGTTACTCAAGAATCTGTGTGCACAGGAGCAAGTCTACTTTAAACAGAACAGATGTACATAATTTGTATATTTAAAAAATGGATACATGCATTTTTATGTGAGAGATCACAGAAATTCTCTTACAGTCAGTGTTGTGTCAGTGTTCAGAGTTTTATTGGGGGAGGGAAAAAAGTTTAAACTGTCTGCATGTAAACAATCAAACAAAAAGAAAAAAATGTCAGGCTTTATGCTCTGTTCTTACAAAACTGCACAGACATCTGATCAAGGATACCATCTATAGGCCCAATTCTGCATTTCCAGTCATTTCAATTGGACTAATCAGGCAAATAAAAATGACAAGATTGAACCCTGCAGTTTTGGTTTCCTCTGGATTCCTGCAGATAGCAATATAGATCTTATTAACAGTAACAGGTCAACATGAGATTAGAACTCGATTTGTGCTGCAGAAACAGAGGCAGACAAGCTAGAGCATCCGTTTTCACTTTACATGATTTTGTTAGTTTGCCATAACCTGTTTTAAAAATTGCTACTTCTAATTTTGGATAAATGTAGAATATTAAATTTTGCAGCTGAGGTGAAGTTCAACCACTTGCATGGAAAGAAGAATTTGGACACGTAGCAAGAATTAGCTTTTCTGCTGGGGAAAATAAAAGGAGATATATAAAAGGGAGGGATGGAGACTGTTAATATCTCTCTGCGAAAGCTGTTCTGCAGAAGATATTCTCCATCTTTCTTGAAGATTTGGATTTCCTTTAGTGATTATTGTGTGCTGTGCCAAAAAGTGCAATTAGGATCTGTACAAACAGTGCATTTGGTATCAAACATTGATTGCACATTCTCCTAGGTTTAGACTCCAAGGATTAAGATAAAATAGACATTGTTTACATCTTCTTACTGGGATTTTCCGTTTTTTCTTCTGGGCAGAATGTCCAGTGTTTGAGAGGAAAACTCACACACATGTCCATTAGTTTTGCCACAGCCATCCACCTTATCCACCCCCAAATCCTGTGCAATTCTCAATTACTTTGTAAACATGGACCAGCAATGAACATCAGAGCCTATTAAAGAACAATAATTTCAGGCTACTGAGAATAGTCATCTATTAATAGCAGCCAAATCCCTGCTATAGCCTGTAGTGATAATACCCTGATACTTAGCACACAGTTAACCATTACAAAACCAGCCAAAAGTCATCCTATATTGTAGGCTGATCTGTACCTTTCCCCCCCTCTAGAGCTTTCAAACAAACCAACCAAAACCACATACATCCAGATGCTCGAGGCATGATCAGATTGTATGCTATCCAAAGATTTGTTTTTATATGCAAGATGTTAATTGTCAGCTCTTCCAAGTGACCCATCTTGAAAGGAACCATACTGCATGAAATACTTGTGAGAGAGGAAGTGGCTCTGTCTTGCAGGAACACTCAGCCAGCCTATGAGAGTTTTACCACACACACCGCCAAGACAATAGCGATAATCAGCACCGCGGAGAAAATGATCCCAGCTAGAACTTTGCTGATATCGCAAAAGGATTTGTTTTCCTCCACGGAGATCATTCCAATAGAGGAGGCGCCCACGCTAATGGTGGATTTGAGTTCAGCCCCAGGGTCCTGTTTAGCCTCTACTGTCCACTGGGGGACATTCACTTTCATCTCCATCTCGTACATCATCTCTCCAACTTGGTTGATCTCGTTCTCCAGGTCTTTCAAATCCACTACATCTATGTTGTGTTCAGCCTCGTATTTCATGTTCTGGACGCTCATAGCCCTGGCGGCCACCCCAGAGGTTCCCCCGCTCATGCCCGTCTGGATCAGGTGCTTTTTGGGCACGTTAAGGGGGAACTCCTGGCCCAGCTCCAGGGCTCTCCTCATGTCAATCTCCAGGATCTCCATGCAAGTGGAGAAGATCACCCAGAGCCTCTCGAATTCAGCCTTGTCCTCCTTACTCACCGTCTTGTCCTTCAGGACCGCGGTGAGCTTGTTCCTGTTAGCCACCGCCAGCTCCTGGGCTTTCTGCCGAGTTTTCTTCAGTTCCTCCCGCAGGTTCTGCGAGTCCGAGGTGCCCCCGATGGTCAGCACCATGTGCCGATAGCAGGCAGTCACCTTGCTGAGCGCATCGAGCAGCGCTTTGCATTCCTCCTTCACCATGGCTCAGGCAGGCTGCAGACTCCAACAGGCGGGCTGGGCTGCTAACCGGGTGAACTTGTGTCCCTGCTGGTCTACCTCCCGCGGCTCAGTTCAGATTACCCTCTGTCGGACCCAGGGAGCTGCCAGCGCCAGATGTCACCAACACGCATGGTAATAGCGGAGCTCGGATCCTGCATGCAACTACCTAGATCGAGTCCCTTCCGACCGCTCACACGGCTCCAAATCCTCCGACGGTCCATGCGAGCGGGAGAGGAGTTTGGGGAGCGAGTGGCATCGCTTTGCGCATAGTATTCAGCATCCGAGGGAGGGTTGCCCCAGTCCCTACTCCAGACACACCGAGATGGAGAACAGCTGCTGTTTCCTGCAGGAGGCTCCAGTACAAGAAAACCAGATACCCGTTGTTTTCAAATGCACCAATCCGAATTGCCAGGAAGAAATGAATACCAGAGCTAAAAACAAGGCAGCCTTTAATTAAAGCCCGAGTGCTGCCTCCATGTGTGCCAGGTGACCAGAGGCCGGTCTGCAACGCCAGGGAACTCGCCTGCCCAATACCCACCCGGCGCCTCGGCTATTGACATTAAATACTGCACAGCTGGAGCACCTGGAGGAGTCACGTGGTTCCGAGCAGGAAGTAGCTCCGCGGTTTCTCTTTCCAGCGAAATACAGCCGCCGTGCTGCTCGGCGTGCCTAGGCTCCACCTTCGTAGGCTGCTGATTGAGTGGACGCTGCCTCAGTCGCGGGAGAAGCCGGGGCTCATTGGCTTGGCGTAGCTGGGCTGCTGTGGTGCACCGCCCGCCTTGGATCCTGGTAGGGCTTGGTTGAAATACACAGCAGTTAGGGGGGAACTGGACGGCTAGTGGTTCTCTTGTGTCTGGGGAGGAAGTGAGACAATGTTACCTTTGTAAGTAAGTAAATTTTCTGGTATCTGTTGACTCCCGATTCTCTAAATGAGGCTGTAGGGACTTACACTCCCTCCAGGGGGGAAAAGAATGACTTTGGGGACTGCTGGGCAAGTGGGGCCCCTTCTCCTGGCCTTGTCAGCACTGACCGAGACGTTTCCTGTGGCAGAGAGTAGCACTTTCGGGGGCTGTAGCTGTTCTTGCGGTGCCCCCAGCTCCTCATTAATAGTGTGTGGGGGGGGGAGTGACTGAAAACAGGGTTTACCGCTGTCACATGGTTTTCATTTTAAATTGTCTTCCTACCAAGGCCTGTGAACTCAAGCTTCGAAAACCACCTTCTATCCTCCTCTTCTACTCCAGCGTAAGAGATGGGATGGAGGGGGTTTTGGAGGCATATTTTGTTCCAGATCTGTGTCCTGGCAGTGCTGTTGCTTCTCTGTGGGAGTTAAGTTACAGCGTAATGCAGGCGTGTGGGGCTTGTACACAGAGCTTCGGATGGCTTCCTTTTTATACGCTTCAAGGGAGACACCGTTGCAATTTAAAGAGAGTGTGTGTTTTCAGAGAGTGAACATGTTTCAGAAGGGAAGTATGCAAATGCTTTTTCCACCCTCAACACAGTGCAGGACTCTGGATGGGATTGTTCACCTTCTGAAATGTTGACACAGCAACTCTGTTGTCGATATCCGATCCAAACTATAGGTTTCTTGTTTCTGTCCAAACATGTGACTTATTAGCCCTCAGGAAGTCTCCATTCTGATTGTCCGGTGGGGTGGGGAAAGAGCTCCAAAGATATTTTTGAATTAATTTGGGGGGGGGGGAGGGAATTACATTATGTTGGGATTAAACTGCATGCAGTATAAACATGGGGTTAAGGGTCTTTGAGTTAAACACAGGATTATTGTTTTTTCTTTTTTTGAGGTCCCACTTGCGTTAGATGCTGAAGTTAATAGAGCTGTTACTGATTATTTCTCAGACAGTACAAACTTTTTTTCTTTTTCTTTCATGAGTAAATACTGTTTCTATCAGGCTAGGAGAACTGATACTTTTCTGCATCTTTAATCATAATACTATCTTAGACTATTTTTGTTAATAATGCAAAATTGAATTTAGCATGCTAGCATATGTACAGAAGCCGAATCAGACTCGTTGGTTAGTAGTATCAACACATTTTGCTTCCTTCCAAAGCTTCTGATACAGTACGTAAACTAAAAGGTTGTGTTTCTCTCTTTGAGATCACTTAAGTGAGTATGAACTGTTTAGGAAGCTTTGTAGCAAGTGTAGCTTTTGAGCCAAGAAGATTTACTTGCACCTGGCCTTTTTATAATTGTACATGCAAATTAAGAGGAAGTTAATGTGACAAACTTGAACACTTGTTATAAATTAGTAAAATAATATTGTGAATTGAATGCTTGGCAAATATATTGTAGAAATGCTAATGTAATAGTTGATAGTGGTGAGTACTGAATATTTCATACTGTGCTGACTATATTATAATTTAAAAAAAAATTTGGTAGCTATATATTTTGGTAATGGGTGCTCCAGACTCACTTAAATGGTAATAGTGAGTACTGAACACTACACTTTACAGTAATTTATGCTATTTTGCAACATACAGTAAATATTTATCAAAGAGGAGTGCCAGAAAACTTAATTGCCACAGTCTCCACACCTCATTCACCCCTGGCTCAAGGAACAGCCAGATGGCTTGCTGAATGAAGTGACTTGAAATAGATACATTCTCATATTCCCATAAAGAATGAAAAAAGAGCAAATGTAACATATGCCATCATAGTGGAACAAACAAATACCATGTGTAATAAGTGGTATCTAGCTTCAGAAACTTTCTTGAAATTTGTCATGGAAGCCCCAAGATCAATTAAGTAGCTCTCTATCAGTTTGAAGGCAATATTAATCTAGGAAGATTGAGCCAAAGAATGTGGGATCTTGCATGGGAATGCAATGACACTAGGTGAACTTGAACTACATGTAAGCAAAGATTTGTAATTGCATAATGGGCCTAGTCAGGTGGAAAAAGGATAAGCCCTAGCTCTGGATATAAAGTCTTATGTGACTTGATGATAAGCTTATGACTATCCAAATTATGCATCTGTTCATACTTTGAAAGGGTTTACATGCAAAAGTCTGATGCATTTCAGTAATATGTTACTACTTATTTCAGTGCATCGGACCTTTACATTAGAAAACTTGCCTGAAACTAGATGGGAGACTAACTGGTTGAAGGAATACCTTTGTCAGGAGGAAACGTAATGTTTCAGCTTCGGACTAATTATTTACACCGAGGCAGCAATAGATAATACCTGTAGTCAGATACTTCTTGACAACAGATCTTTACATTTATTATTACATGGAAGAATAAGAACAGCGTTCTTCTCTAGAATAGCTCCTTAAGTTGATGACACTGTTTTCCAATACCAAATCCCAGACGGTACCTCTACTGCAGATTCAGCCACAGCTTTGTTATAGGAATTGTCAAATGACAGGTAGAAAATGCTTAAAATCCAAAGACAAAGATTGATACCTTTTTTTAGGGTAGAGTACTCTTGCAAATGTGTTTGGAAAATGTAGCTCTTGAAAGACATTATAGAGAATTACTTGCTAAATCCCATACCCTTTTAGTTTACCAATGGGCTCCCCTGTCCTATAACTAAATTATCTTTTTGAATCATTGAAAACCCTTGTTAATTCTGTTTTATATGCTATAGATTAACAAACCTTGGCTCAGATGTACTAACATTTGGAGTAAACTCAAAAGTTAAGTACCATCATCTAAGAAAGTTCTGCCTGTAGTTTGGGACAATATAAGTTTTTTTTTTTTTTTTTTTTTTCCCCTTCCCCTCCCGCCCTGAGGAGGGATTGTGTGTTTGTTTTTCATCTAGATATCTCAATCGAGAGAGCTTGAAAACTTTGAAAATCAAAAAGCCTCAGCCATTATTCAGGCCTGTGCTAATATTAGACCAGTTTCCTTCAAATAACAAGCAAGAACATACTTGGATTAGTTCTCCACCTGTCTCAGCTGTACCTACTGTGCAAGTGTTTTGAAGAGTGGCTTGAAAATGTTCTTGGATTCTGTTTATCACAAAGCAAAGTAGCAGCCAAGTCTGATGCTGGTGTGTCTGTAGCTACTGCAGTGACAAGTGTACAGGTTAGTTATTCTGGTACACTGTATTATGTAGCTTTAAAACGCCAGTGTTGGCTGAAATGTCACTAAATGTTTTAGTAAGTAAAAATTAACTATGGTGAAACTGTTTGTCTTAGTACAAAAGATGGTGGAAACACTGGTATTGAAGTGCAGTACTGCTCTGATTAGTGACTCTAAAAAGTTGTCATAGGACTCCATGATTACCATGTCTTAGTGAACTCAAATGAAAACTTTTAAAAACTTTGCCTTTAATGAGAGAAAATACCTTTCCCAGTTCCTGGTTTAAAAAAACTGCACAAGCAGTCAGTCCATTCCACCCGTTTCTTCCACGCTACATTTTATGTACTGAATTCCAGACAGACACATTCAAATCTCTTGATCTCCACATGGTGTAATAAATATTTCAATGTACTAACTCACCCTTTTCCTTTACTATTTTCTTTTCTTTAAAATCAAATACTAAAACATCAGCTAATAGCTGAGGACTCCAACCCACAAAAACTGGGCTAAAGGGAGGAAGGAGGTAATGAGGGGAAGGAAATTCAGAATTGTGGCTCCCAGAGCAACTGTCACTTGGCCATATTGCAAGTATTTAACCCCCTGTGCAGCTATATAATACTATTCAAGCCCAAGGGGACTGAGTTACAATTGAAGAAACTGTTAATGCGCTAAGATAGTCAAAGTTTAAATTCTCAACCATGATGTTGTTGTTTGGGGGTGTCATGCAGAGAGGATAAATTCTATTCTGAAGTCCAAGGTATGTTGTGGGCTTTGTACTCCTTTATTAAGGCATGGTATATATATTTGCTATCTTAATTATGGAAGTGTTTTAACCCGTTTTTATTTCTGAATGTGGATTTGTTCTTCTGTATCATTTCATTTTGTTGGCGCTCTAGATCACACTGAACCATGCTCAGTAGTCTGCTTGTCCTGTGGCTGCTGCCACTAAGCGGTTTAGAGCTAGTTATTTGTGATGTGTAATCTCATGTGCTGGGAACTGAAGTAAGATCACTACACTAAACTCTCTTCCTGTGACCATCTGTCAAATCAAAATTATTTTAAATCACTCTAGTCTGTCTTGGATTTGTATTATGTTCTTTTTAGGTCCAGGCAGTGGATTACAAACAGCACATTTAGCTAAGCTATCTATATTCATAAATTTAAATTTAGTATTTTGCCCATGAGTTGGGATATGATGGTTACAGATGGTGTGGTTTCTCACGCACACCTCTCTTGTGTTTCTGATCAGCTTTATCACACGGTTAAAGAGACAATTAAAGCTTTTTTTCCAGTCTTCCCTTCCAGATGGAAAGAAATCTTGGAATTATGTTCCATGGATATATGGCAGAAAGAAAGGTGAACTTTTTTGGTCATCTTTCTGAAAAAAATAACTAAGTAAAAACTGTGACCGGCTTAAGGACACTTTGTGTTTCCAGTCATTATTTTCTCTTTCCCAGTCTTTGTGGTATAGGAAACTTAAACCCTGCATTCTAGCTTCTTGACTTAACATATTAATGCTCTTGGAGCTTTTCGGTAGCTTGTGAAAGATCATTTAGCAATAGCATATGACTAAACAGTTCAACTATTTATAAATAAGAATAGTTCCTGGCAAGCCAAATGTTAAAATAGAGTACCTTGGGAAATACAGGATCTCAGAACATAGACACAAATTAGTTTCCTGCTGAGATCCGTGTAACTCTTTTAGTTTGACTGTTGAGACAAGAAACTGTTTTTATATGAGAACTGAAATCAGGATAACTGTTTTAGTTTTGCATGCATCTTAATGTTGCTGCTGCTGGGATAAATTTAAATCTGACACCCTGGATTGAGCCATATATGTGAATCTCTTCTCCTTTAATCCTGTCCATGCAAAACCCCACATGATCAGTCTTGGCAAATGTTACTCCCATGAGTAACTCCAGCTTTAAAGAGAATCAGACATATCAATTATTTACATGAGTAAGACTTCTCAGGATCAGAGAAGAAGGTTCTAGCCCAGGTAGGATCATTATAGTTTATCTTAATTATAAATAACACACCAAAAACTACATTAAATGAATGTTAAGGATGCAAAGTCAAGCACTACAAATTTAGGAAATACCTGAATTAAGATTGCATATGTAACCTTAATTCATCCCCCTCCTGTATATGCATTATGTTATAATTTCTAATTACATAATCTCATGCTTCCCCCCCTCTCCCCCCCCAGGACCCCTGCCTCATTCAGTGTACAGGATGGATAGTGCTCTGGGAATGCACCAGGTGGCATTTGAGGCCTTGGCTACACTCGGGACTTCCCAGCACTGTCGCGGCAGCGCTGTGACGCGCGAGTGTAGTCGCGCCGCCAGTGCTGCAAGAGAGCTCTCGCAGCGCTGTATGTACTCTACCTCTCTGAGGGGAATAGCTTACAGCGCTGCGAGCGAGTGTGCAGCTCTGCAGGCTCTGATTACACTGGCGCTTTACAGCGCTGTACTCGCTGCGCTCGGGGGGGGGGGGGGGGGGTGTTTTTTCACAACCCTGAGCACAGCAAGTTGCAGCGCTGTACGCTGCCAGTGTAGCCAAGGCCTGAGTCAGGTGTCTGGCTTTTCTTTGCCTCCTGGGTGCCAGCAGGGGGAGCCTTGAGAGTATAGGAGAGAATGTGTCTCTGCTCTGTTCCAGGGCCCTGGCCTGTAGTAATGGGAGAAGCAATTGCAGGGAAAATCCTGGTGAGCTGTTGACGCATGCACAGTGCAGGCAAAGTCTTCAGAGAGTTTAGCTGCCTAACTCTAATAATTCTCTGCTGAGTATGTATGAACTGAGACTGGCCAAGCTATCAGCCTTTGGGCAATTTTTTTCTGGGATCAGCAAAAGGCACATCCCTGATGCGTAGAATGGGAGGTCGGTCAGCTCCAGCCAGTTTTTAAGTCTGTGGTCTGAACCATGGAGCTGCTAGAGCTTTTCCATGAAACAGCTATAGGACATTTACCCCAAAAAAACAAAAAACTTTTCCCTAATCTAATTTTTGTGAACAGCTGAACTATCTTAGCTGAAGCTTTTTGAAGAAGTTCAGCCCAAGGCAGATACCCAGCATGGGAAAAATTCAGCCTGAATGGTTATCCTTTGACAGAGTTATAAGCAACTGAAAACAGGGTCTTGCAATGCCAAGTATGAGGCAACCTGAGCTATAGGCTGCATTACAGGTCTGTCTCATCTTACGTGGGGGTTCCGTTCTGCGGTTAGCGCGTAAAGCGAAAACCACGTATAGTCAAAATTACATTGAGTTCAATGGCGGGCGGAATCGCCTGCACTACAGGTACAGTATTAAAATTGTTATTTTTCTAATGTTTTTTGCCGACCGTGTAAAGCTGAAATCGCGCATGTTAAATGCGCGTAAGATTTGACAGACCTGTACTAACTCTGCCTAGAATGGGGGAGCTCTCAGTCTGGTATAGGATCATAAGGCTACATCTGATGCATAGTGTAGCTGCCTCTTCGCCTCCGGTTACACTATCTGTTCTGAAAACTCACATCTTGCTGTCACATGCACTTCCTGGACCCTAGGGAGCCTCAAAGGAAAGAGGCATTGTCCTTCTGCCAGCATGGTATACAACCAAGAAATGCAGTGGAGGAATATTTCACAGCTCACTAATGTGAACAGTGTGGAAGTATGAGAGAAAGAAGAGAACATCTAGCATTTTATTAAAACACAATATGTTAAGACTGCAACTGCATATAATGAAGAAAATGTTTAATGGGGGAGAAAGAGGGTAGATACATTGGGATAGCATAATTAATTCAACTCTAAAGGCTCTTGAAAGAGTACCTAGAGCAGGGGTTGGCAACGTTTGGCACGCGTCTCGCCAGGGTGAGCACCATAGCGGGCCGGGCCAGTTTATCTGCTGACGCGGCAGGTTCGGCCAATCGCAGCCCCCACTCGCCGTGGTTCGCTGTCCCGGGCCAATGGTTGCGGTGAGAAGCGGCGCAGGCAAAGGATGTGCTGGCCGCGGCTTCCCGCCTCCCCCATTGGCCCGGGACGGCGAATCGCGGCCAGTGGGGGCTGCAATCGGCCGAACCTGCTGCGTCAGCAGGTAAATAAACTGGCCCGGCCCGCTAGGGTGCTTACCCTGGCGAGCCGCGTGCCGAACATTGCCGACCCCTGACCTAGAGCAATAAGTGACCTGTTGTATGCTGTACATATAGAAAAACTTAAAATAATAATTAGAATAAATATCTCATCCTTTATCCTCATACACTAAGTGAATAGTGCCATTTTGTTTTTTCTTCATGGTCTATTCAGTACTGTACTAGAAAATTATTTTTTTCATGAGTATGTACTATGTTTTTTATTGGAATTAGGAAAAACTGATTCCAAAATAAGTGGTAAAATAGTCTTTTTATAGAGTGCCTCTGACCTACCGTGTTATAACCAGTAGTGCTTATAGGCTCCAGTCAGACTGTACAAACACTTAAGACATTGTCTCTGTACCAAAGAGCTTGCATTCTAACTTGAGACAGGAAGAAACAAGTGTGTAATGAACAATATGAAGGAATGTGGTGACAGGACTAATGTAACTGTCACATTATATGCTCTGACAGTTTGCACAACTCAAAAGCTCTGGCCATAATAACTTATATTTTAACACGGAGCATGTTGCTATTTTTCTCTGTGGCCTTGTGAACAGTGATAGAAAGTGAGCTGGAACAGCTTCTAAAGATATCTGATATAGATTTGTTGTAGATGGGCACAGCTCTTCAAACTGTTCTGATGTTTGTCTGGTGCATGTAAATGCATTTCCCCAGATGACCTCTGTCAAATTGAAAACTGTGAGTGAATTGCACTCTTATTAATTTCCCTAAAAATATGTGCTAAAGTTAGGAAAGCTCATCTAAAACAAAAATATCCTTTAAATGTTGTGGATAGCGCCCAGATTCCATGCTGAGTTCCTCTTTTGAGTGAAATGTTGGTCTTAAGTCTAGCCTCTTTTGAACTTGGGGATCCCATTACAAACATCTGTTACCTTCTGCAAAGGGGATTGCGTAGACTTGCCAAGACATCATACCATAGAATAACTTGTAAAGTCTTCAAGTTTTGGTTGAGAGCATTGATAAAAGGGTATCTTGTAGTGTAGTTTCCTCTGCTACAGTAGTTGTTCTGTTTAAGGGATAAAGGTGGGGGAAACAGATTTTCCAATCTAAAACATTAGGAATTTATGTCCCAGACATTTGTAACCTTGACTGACCTCCTTTCCATCCTGTAAGTAAAATAAAAATTCTGAAGTCATTCCAGAGGCATCCCATTATGAGTCACTGAACCTCACGTTTGTGAAACGTGTACTGTAGAACTTCTGTTGAGAATTAGAACCTAGGAAGCCATAATTCGCATGGGGTTTTAGCATCTTTAGAAACAAAGAATTTTATTCCATTCATTAGTTTAGTTATAAGAAAGACCTTTTTATTTTTACCAAAGCGTACTGTATTTCTGGACTTCTTCCATTAGACGTGAGCTCATAGACAAACTGAATGTTATAAAACCTGAATTCATTAGGATTGGTTCACAAATGTATTAATGACAGATCAGGTAAAATATGTTTTTAGACTCTGAGCCTAATTCTTTCACCTTGAATCAATGGGATTACTTCTGGAGGGAAGGTATTCCTTACAGTGAGTAAGTGTGGTAGAATGGGACACTTAATTAGTTGTAATTATTGTTAGTGGTGGCTATCTCAGAGCACCATTAGCCCATATTCATGGGGAGAAGGGCAGGCTTGAAAGTAGGGATTAGTTTTTGGCTAATTTTTAAAAGAGATGACATAGACCAGTGCTTCTCAACAGCTAGTTCATGGACCAGTGAGGGTTCCTGAGATTTCCCTGACAGAGTTTAGGAAAGGCAGCAAGCTGGTCCTCGGTATCAAAAAGCTTGAGAAACACTGACATAGACAGCTATATTCAGAACTTCTTGGTTGTGTGCCTCCTTTGAAATTTTGATTAATTGGTTCATAATAGATGTACTATTTCATATAATGGAAATTTTTTCCTTAAGTAACTTTTTCCCTTGATAGCTGAGGATAGTGTAATGAAAATACCTGTGTATGACTGTTGTGCAATTTACATTGGTGTCTGTGTACAGAATACTCATGTTGACTGTGTGTATGTCCATGTTTCTAAAATAACCAGGCAGATTATAATGCATGTACAAAGAATAATGGTAGAAGTAGTTGTGTTATCTTTGCAGGGTTTGTTTTTCATACACAAGTTGTTACTGCAGTAATGAATGTTTTAAAGGTTAATGTGTTTGTTTTTGTTTTTCCGGCCAGCATACTGCAGTAATTCTTTATAATACTGCTTGAAATTGAGTAGATTGGGTTGTTTGAAATCATCTATTTACAGTTATAGCAACACTCAGGCCCCAAACAGGTGGTGTGCAGATTTTATTAGAAGAGATGGTCCCTGCCCCAGTAGCATAAAGTCTAACTTAACACACAAGTAGGTGTAACGGTTGGAAGAACTGGGGAGGGATAATAGTAATAGGAAACGTTTGGTTATGAAGACTAATTTTGCATGAAGTTCCATGGTTCTGTATCAGTCACTTTATATTGGAGTTAGCTCCACATATTCTGTATCTTGATGTGAGACGAGGAGAATAGTTTATACTTCTCTAAAACATGAAAGGAAGTATACCAAAAAAAATCCTCTTCTATATTCCCAAATGTTATTACACCTGAATATGAAAACTAAACAATAGAATAGCCGTTTAACTTCTGTAATATTAACACTTTTATCTCTTCTAGAAAATATCTTTGGAATCTCTGACGTCCATATGGCTATGTATGATGAAGATCTCTTGAAAAATCCTTTTTATTTGGCTATTCAGAAACGTCGTCCTGACCTTTGCAGGAAAGTTGCAGAATTCCATGGTATTGTAAGTAAAGAGCTTGTTTTAAATTGACTGACTACATACAGAAGCAATAAAATCTCTCAGATTCTCACTAAAGTTTAGGAAATGATGAGAGCAAGCCAACAAACTAGATCAAAACTGAGATACTTTAAGTATATTATATGAGGGAATGCAGGAGGTAGTAGATGGAATGTATGGTGGGGCTTCCACCTTTCAGGAGGATTCTTACAATTATGGTTCATAGAAAGACCCAAAATATAAATGCATATTTTAAATATGGGTTTGGCACTCTTGTGTTCAGGAACATATTGAAGTCCCTAGCTTGTAAGGGAAGAGAATAATGGTCCTTTGACCAACAAGCTACTTTATTTTATGTGATATGAGGCTACAAATATTATGCCACTATTGTTGGTGTTCAGTTTTATAGACTCCAGGTAACTGTTGAATGCACTACTTTGAAAGGCTGTCTGTACTTGATGGATCTTTACTTATCGGAAATTTTCTTATCAAGCCTTATCTTCTAGTTGTCCTTGCTGGCCTGAATAACTTGTATATCTAGTACTGTTTGTCATAATTATGACCTTGAGAGACTGGGAACTGAAGCATTTTGCAATTGTTTTTATATTGTAAATCAATATGCACAAATCTGTTCTGGCATTAAAACATCAAGTAATAAAAACCTGGTTTATTCCTGCTTTTTAAGTGTTAGTAAATATAAGATATTTTAAAATGAGGGGTTTTGACCTATGGCTCCTATGAAGGATGCTATATAAACCTTATATTCACTTTTAAAGTGCCTAGCCAGAGAATGCAAAGGTACTTGCATGGTAGCTTCTGCATGGCTGTGTCAATACTTGTTTTTTGTTTTGTTCTGTATCACTTCCAAGTGCTGCTTACAGTGATGCAGTTCCATTGATGAGTGCTAATGTAAATGAAACACCAGCAGCTGTAGGTGTTTTAAGTCCTTTAGTGTTTATACCCCCTTTGAAGCCGGTCTAGACAAAACAGCACTTAATTTGAGGGTGAGAGGGGAACTAACCACTGACACCTGGGCCTCTGTCTGTCCTCGTTCCCAGCACTGTTGCCACTTATACCAGCCATGGGAAATTTTTAGGGGAAACATCCTAGCATAAACACAGCTTGTGAGTAAGCCTTGCAAGCAAGAATTACAATAATTTTACTGCTCTCTAAAGCAATCTGGCCAATCTTTCCAAATGGTCTTGGTTTCTATTTTTATTTATTAGCTACATAGAACCTTATTTTGAGGGTAGCTCTAATTCCAAAGCCTACGGATGTCTTTTATTAGGTTAAATAACCTCACTTATTCTTGGGCTTTTTGATCATCCATTAGCGATGGCACAGGAAAAATTAGTCAGCCTATTTATCTTAAAATCTTGGAGAAAGCCCTAATAATGCATCTTAACTTTTTTTTCCTACTTTTTTTTTTTTTTTTATTTTCAATTCGTTTCTGTATGAGCGGTATTCAAAGTTTAGAAACTTAACTATCTGTTGTGTGTGTGTGTGTGTGTGTGTGTGTGTGTGTGTGTGTGTGTGTGTGTGTGTGTGTCCTGCAGTATGTAGAAGAAATGGAGTAAGAAAACTGAAATATTGGGGTTACCACTTTCATGGGATTTGAGCAGAAATGTTGAGTATGAAAACAATTGTTTGGTTTTTCTTCTTCTTGTGGGAATTGGGGGAGAGGCAGAACTTTTTACACAGGCTTTGTCCTAAATCAGTATTAATAATAGTTTAACATTTAACCTTGTCCACATACACAAGTGGGCCTGTGCAGTATCCAGTTTTTCTTTAACTAGTGTAGGAGGACATTGCACAGTATTGTTGGAACAGGCTTTCAGTGTAAAATGTTATTTTGACACTGTGCCTGTTAAGTTTCTATAAACTGCTCCATTTAAACTTTTAAATGTTGGCAGCACAAAACAAAAATGCACTTTTTGTTTTGTTGTTCTTTAAAGTTTACTGTACTTCTAATTCAGTAATAAGATCTTCTGCTTGTTGAGGAATAAGTAAGAGGCAATAGGGTATGCTTTTTTAAAAAAAAAAAAAATTAAATTGCGTACCAAAGGAATGGAGAGAAGGGGACTAAAAAATGTCCAATCAGAGTGCTTTGTGAATGTCTGAAACTGTAGTGCTGCTATTAGAAATGTAAATATTTGTAGAACTTATGTTTGTCAAGATTCCTCGTACCTGCTGCTTCTTTGCTCATCTCAGGTCTGACCTCCTTGTGGAGATGATTCTGCTGCTGATAATGGTATTGCTTTTTATGCCTCCAGAATAAAAGCATTTGTTTCTGTGAGCAGTGTTAATATTTCCAGAGAGAGTGCTCTTATCTGAAGAGTAGAAGTGCTTCTGTACAAAGTATCTTTCAATACTGAAAGGGTTTTAGTTAGGAGAAATTGTAAATTTTTGCAGTGTTCCAGAGAACAGCAGGAATAGACAATGTTGTACTCTGTGACAATCTTTTATTTTTCATTTGAAAACTAGGCATATATATTACCAGTTTTAGATCAGTTTCTTGATGGAAGAATAGAGGCTCAAAATATTCACCAGGTAGTTTTAATGGTAGCTAGGCAAATTTGTATGTATGAACTAATATGCCACTTGCCCTGGTTTCTTTTAAGCTACCTTTCTTCTCTCTGGTGGTTTTGACCTTTTTGTGGCAAGCATCCACATGGCAGTGACTTGGGAATGCAAGAAACAATGGTACTGCTACCTCATTAGTATAACTGTTCTACCAGAGAGAAATATTGGCCTGTCACAGATTAGCATGTAGCTAGTTTGTTGAAGTGCTGCTTTAAACGTAGAAACTGGTGTGATCCCAGTATTTAAGTTGTCCCTCCATTGTGTGCGGATTTTTTTTATAAATGCATAGCTGATACAGAGAAGAGTGAAAATGTTTTAGAAAGGTGTATTAGATTTGTGAAAGGCTTTGCTTTAAGAGCTATGCAGACTAGTTCTTAGAGGTAGTCACAGTCCCACTTCCTATTCTTCTCTGAATATATCTTTTCAACTTTTAGTTCTAGGGCTGTTCAGAATCCTGCTATGCTGCTACTTTTTTAAAGTCTAGCTGTTTGAAGTAGTTTTTGAAATACTGAATTCTCTTTTTTTTTTTTTTCTGTATGACTGAGTAAATTGGCTTCTTTCTGTGTGACTGACTCATCTGAGTTGCTGTAACTAAGCAAATTTGGAGGTGAGGATATATAACTTCCTTCTTGCTATTGAGGTAGTCGGCAGCAGGGGTGGGAGGTGGGGCAGGATGGATATCAAAAACAAAGTCTTGTGTAGGAAGAGTTCTCTACAGCTCAGATCAGTGCTCTGAAATCGATCCACCGGCAGTTGATTTAGCAGGTCTAGTGAAGACCCGCCAAATCGACAGCAGATCGCTCTCCAGTCGACCCCTGTACTCTACCCTGCAATGAGAAGAGTAAGGTAAGTCAACAGGAGACTTTCTCCTATCGACCCCCCGTGGTGTAGACCCCTCAGTACGACCCAAGGTACATCGACTATGTTGTTCACGTAGCGTAGGTTAACTTACTGCGGTAGTGTAGACATAGCCTAAGTTTTTTGTTTTTTTTTTAAAATTCAACTTCTGCTCAAATAGCCCTGAATGGAATAATTTATGTATTTGATAATCTAACACGTAATGCTTCATTCTCCACATAGGGAAGAAAATTTCTGCTTTATCTTTCCTAAAAAACAACTGTTTCTTATAAGATTGTTTCTTAAATTAGTTGTGGACGCCATTATGTCCTAGATAAGCGGTGTTAGTGAAACTGAGATTATGCATAGCTTTTTGGCTCTTAAAATAGTTTTGAAAAGATGTTTGGTGTATTATTATTATTATATTTTTTTTTTTAAAGTTGGTGGTTCAGGTAAATCTTGCTATTCCAAAAAAAAAAAAAAAAGGTAAGAAGCCTTTGGCATACTCAATATGTACTGAAGACTTGGTCTGACAATTGCTGAGGGAGCCTATAAGCAAACTCAATAGACAATCTAAATGACTCGCAGAAGACTTCTCAAATTTGAAGGCCATTATAGCAATATCCTGGGTTTCTCCAGTTACCTTACTTATAACTATGGTGCCTGAAGAAACCGCACTCCATCTTTTCACTTTCTTCTCTCTCCAATCCCAGTTAAAATGAAGGGCTGAACTTTAAGAAATGCTTCAAAGTGAAACAGTGAGCAAGTCTGTTATAATGAAGAAAACTCTGATTGCAAAGGGGGCAGACTTTCTTCCTTTTAAAACCTTTTCAGACAGCTCAAATCCTGGTGAGGATAGTAGCAACTGCAAGTCACTACTCTTAACACTTCACCACACTGCAATTTAGTGGCCTCAGTCCACTCCCAGTGGTTGTTTGTAGAGCCAGTGTTCTTCATAAGCAGACTAAGCAATTGCTTAGGGCCCCAAGCAGCTCAAGAGGGCCTCCCATTCACTTTTTTATTGTAAGAACTTGCCTGTTTTAGTATTGGGGATTGGGAGGGGGGAATATTCCTGCTTCGGGGCTAGCGACGGCACTATATGTTTGCATTGTGAATCCACCCCGGAGAGTACAAACTGGCAGAGATGTAGAGGATTGAATTAGCAAGGTGATGGATAAGAGGATAGTTTTTAAAAGATATTTCTTCCAGGTCACGGTTGAGGCACAATGGCTGGGCAGCATGAGGGAGGGAAGCTTGGAGTATCACTGTGCTATGTCCTGTATATGAACATCAATCCAGCACCTTCCATGAGCACTAAGTTCTCTCACACAAGCTGAGAACAGACTGTACTTCATTTCAAATGATTGTATAGTTCAGTACTACTAATGTTCTTCTATTGATTCCATAATTCACTTTAGATCAGGGGTTCTCAGCCTTTTTCTCTGAGCGCTCCCCCCACGGCCCATTTGTGCCACAACTGTTTTTCTGCATATCCAGTAGATTAAAAACCAGGGCCAGGGTAGCAAGCAGGACAATTTCCTGGGGACCCCACAAAGCTAAGTTACTTGGGCTTCTGCCCCAGGTGGTGGGGCACAGGCTTTGGCTTTCTGCCCTGGGCCCCAGCTAATCTAATGCCAGCCCAGCTCTTTGGTTTATTTTGGCAGACCCCCCTGAAACCTGCTCATGGCCTCCCCAGAGGGCCCCATATCCCTGGCTGAGAATCACTGCTCTAAAGGCTCCACTGACCTGTTAATGGGAAGAAGCCCCCCCATGCATGGGGTTTTTTTTTTTTTTTTTTTTTTTCCTTTTCTGGTTGCCTTTCACTTGGTCTAAGAAAATACCTTAATGAACACTTTAAGCTGCTTAGTCTCGGGTTTTTAATTTAATGTAAAAATGTCAGCAATATAAGATCTGTATTTATATGACTTGGCGTCTTGCTAGAGATGTTGCTTTTTTGCATCAAGTTCCATCTGCCTTTCCTTTTGGGTACAAAGTGCTCTGATTGTCCCCAGCTTGTTATACTTAGAATCTATACTCTGATAATCTCCTATCTCTTGCAGCTAATTAGAAAACTTTTTTTTTTTTTTTTATTCTGTGATCTGAGAGGTTGAGCAGGAATCTTGGTTATGGGCTCTGTTCCTTTAATAATATTAATAATAAATTAATAATTTAAAAGTAAATTATAGACATGCACTGTCAAATGATACAGGTCTGATATGAAGAGTGCTTGATGAGGAACACAGAACAAAGGTTGTTTGATTTGGAAGCAGTTGGCACACTGCATTTCCTCCTACAAAGGCATGCGATTGACTGATTTTATTCTTTCTCCAGATATTAGTACCGTGCAAAGGGAGCCTTTCAAGCAGCAGTCTCTCTACCTGCCAATTTGATTCCTATGTTTTAAAACCAGTGGAAGAAAAATTTCAGACCTTAAATGGAAAGGTATTCTCTTGTTAATACATATCTGGTGGAGGGGTCCTGCCTGGGAACATGATAGACGAGAGTGAAAGGGGAGAGACCAAACTTTGAGTGATCCTAGGGTAGGTAGAGTTTGAGATAGCACTAACTGGAGGTCTGGTCTCTGTTCCTGATTCTGCTACTGGGAGTGTAACTCCAAACTCATTTTACAGAAGGGGAAATGGAGATACAGCTTCAAATTAATATCACTGCATTTGTGCAAAGTATTTGTATTTATTCGTAGAGCTAATTAGTAGGACAAACTCAGATGGGCTGTCTGTTCTGTCCATGAGAGCTTTGGGTTGAGTTCTGTGCTTGTACTCTAGCTGTACTTGTATAGACAGTAAGGGAGAAGTTTGTCCAGAAGAGGATGGCACAGAGTCTCAAAGACTTTTTTTCTTAAGTTATAAATTGCAGTCGCCTCACACTCTGCACAAACTGATTCAGAAACATTCTGGTGACTTAATGTTACAAAGTTAAAGATGTATTGAAACAAACTGGACAGTCATGCTAATTGCTATAAATGAGAAGTCTTTCCGTGTGGCGTGCTAGTATCGGTTAGTGGCATTGGTTTTTTTTTCCAGTGCAGTTTGAAATAAAAAAGTTCAGAATTCTTGTTTAAATGGGTGTTCTTTGTCCCAAATGCCCATAAAATAAGTTTCAGTGCACTTAAAGCATTTCAAAAGTTCTTTTTTTAAAAAAAAATGCTAAAGGTGAATGTGGAAAAGCATGTTTTTTGTTGTTGTTGTGTGTGGGTGTTTAAATGTGGCTAGTGACTTTTGGGTGCCCAACTCAAGGCACCTTTTAAAGGGATATGACTTTATCAGAAGATGGGTAGTAGGCATTTTCTGAAAATTGGCCCTTTTAAGGTGTCTCAAGTTGAGTAACTAAAAACTTGGGCACCTACCCACTTCTGAATCTTGAACAAATGTGTCTGAATTTTCCTTGAACATTTGCAGTGGAGAACAAACTGGGGGGAGGAGGGCACAAAATCATCCAAGATTACTAATGTGGATTTAAAAAAAAAAATCACTCCCTGCAGCACTGACTTGTTGAAGCAAGGAGAATGTGAAAGGGTCTCTGACCAAAAAAAAACAGCCACTGCAAAAAACTACTTTTAATGGTCTTTTTGGTCTTACAAATACCTCCTTCATTTCCTAGTATACAGAACTATGCATTACAATTGTCAACTTCCTGTTTTTCTGCTCAATATTATGATTTATTTTATTTATTTATTTTTTAATTTCAGGAGATCTTTATTCAAGGAAACTTGATTATTTTAGGAACTGGTTTTAATCATCATCTCTCAGTACCTGTTCTCTTTGAGGAAACATTCTACAATGAAAAAGAAGAAAGTTTTAGCTTATTGTGTATAGCTCATCCCCTGGAAGAATCTGAAATCTTAGGTGCGTACAGAAATGCCAGGAAAACACCAAAAGTTTGTTTTGTTTGGTGGGAAAAAAAGATAGTCCTCTATTTGAAAGGGTTAAGTATAACTTTAGGTTTGTCTTACAAAGCAGTACTTTGGATGGAAAACTCAAGATTTTTTTTTTTTTAACTGGCATGCTATCACTATTGATAGTGTAG